CACACACACACACACACACATATATATATATATATAAAGAAATATAGTTTTAAGGTGTGGTATATTTATGGGATAAAGTGCCCAATATCAGAGATAGATCGCATGTAAATACAAAAGTGGACATTGAAGTCAACATTCAGAGGCGACACGCTGCTTCATGCTAGACGCAATCGTCATTCTGACTGACGACTGGCCTGAATGTGACCTGAAGATTGCATCTAGCATGAAACGGCCTTTCACCTCTTAACGTTCATTTCAATGTTTATTTATATATATATATATATATATATATATATATATATATATATATATATTATATATATATTATGAAATGTACTAAGTCCGACAATTATTTCATTTTTTTTCTGTTGGAGGGTAAATAATTTCTTTGAGATTTCTCGGATGTTCAGGCCGGTAAATGTTAGAAATACCGCTTATTATAAACAAAGTATTTACTTTGAATCTATAAAAAAATAACGTATAAACAAAAATGTATTCATATATATATATGTGTGTGTTTGTGTGTGCCTCCGTGCATATATATATATATATATATATATATATATATATATATATATATATATATGATAAATATAAAACTGAAAAATATACGTAAAAATTACGCGTATTTGAATTATTTTTTAGGCATTCAGATTTGCTTGGGTTGTTGGTTTTGTTTAGCGACATATCAACACCTCTATGGGTTACTTAATGCCGAAATCCAAATAATCTGAAAAGAAATGGCTTCAGCTAAATATATTTTGAACGCAACTGTATGCTTCAACTACAGATAAAATGTATTGTTGGTTGTTTTGCTTTAATTTGTTTTGCTTGTCATTTTACTATAAATATGTATAGTTGATCCTTTTTATATAAAAATGTATTGCTATTTTTACGACATATCAATATTTCTTATACCTTCTTAGTGTTTTGTTTTTGTTTGTGGATTTCCTATTTGCCCATAGCTGAGGTGTGTGTGTATGTCATTGAGTGGCCACCCGTGAACCACCTCGAACAATTCGCAGCCGAGGTTTTTATACCCAAAAACCGTTGCTGAGGACAGAAATCGATCCGGTCAATTGGGAGACAAAAGCTGCAGAAAGAACCAATTGGCGAAAGTCTGTCCACAAAAAAAAACAACACCCTTCGAAAACATCGGAAGACAAATAGGAGAGACGAAGAGAAAAGCCAGAGATCTCCCACCCCTGGACCGTCCTGCCCTAAGATACGATGGCTGCGGACATCTCTCCAACATAGGAATCATTTCACAGAGAAGGAAATGTCGATGAGCAGCCCAACACTCGGCAACGAGTTCCGCTAACGACAACGATTTGAAAAATTACGTAACAAATATTGATAATAATAATAATAAAAAAACGTTTGAAAAATGACAGGAAAAAGTGAAACAAGCTTCTGTAATTTCTGTAATTCCAAAGAACATTGTAAATACAATAAAGTAAGGCAAAGAAGGAATGATTAAAGGCGTAATTTGTCAATTAATTGAGGAATAACGTAGATTTAAGAGGAGCGGGGGTAATTTAAAAAGGAAAGAAGAGAGAGCACGACAGGAAAATGTAAGAAAAAATAGGAATTGGAAAAGAATGAAAGAGAGAAAGAAGAATTAACTTTGATGATCGTTGAAGGAAAGGAAATGAGAGAGAGGAGAGATGCCAGAAATAGTTCCGTTCTATTATTAACGTTAATGCCATGAAAATTGTTTCCTTCAATTTTTTTACGTTTTGGTTAAAAAAAAAAAATGTTTGATTAAGAAAATAAAAAGATATCGACACATTTTAATGAATTTAAAATTCAAATAAAAGTATTGTTTTCTTTCACTTTAAATGCCTACACCTTCTTTTTCGACAATGTTTACAAAAAAAAAAAAAAAAAAAAAAGAAAGAAAGATTTGACGTTGTAAGGGGCAATCGTTATTTCAAATTCATTTTGATTACATGTTCACTGTTTTGCAATTTTTTTTTCTCTAAGAATAACAAAATGACACTCCAAGTTGGTAAAATTGCTACGCTTTCCACATCGTTGTTAGGCATCTGCATTTAAGCCTAAATAAAGACCAGAGATCTAGAATCCTGATTTCTAGGTAGGCAGTGTATTCCTACATTTCTTCTAATTTGATTAGGTACCGTACTGTATAGAAGCGCGTGTGGTGCAATGCATATCAGCGCGTAAATAAAGAGTTCCATTCCCGTTCGATTCAGTTTCATTCAATTTACTCTAATATCTTTAGGACAGGAATAACTGCCCGAGATGTGGGTTAAATAACAAGTTAAATGGGCTCTCTTGCCTGGAGTGGCAACCAATCTAAGAGAAGGAAAACTCTGAAATCAAAACAAGCTTGGAGAGGGTTGGGCTCCATTAGGATATCTTGCCCTAGACACACCATTGCTGTTATGGATGCAGCACATCTAGTACCTTTACCACACACACATACACATACCATACTGGATAAATAACGTAGAAATACAGTTTTGCGTAACGTATT